TGCCGGGATATAGTTTTCTTGGTTGTGGTGTAGCGAGAAGACAAATGACAAGAAATCGAACCGTACGTACATTGTAGATACGAAAAGAAACTTGGTTTCGATGAATCTCCTTGGACGTGGTACATATCGAGACGTTTCGCCGGCATCGTCTGGGAATGTACCACATCCACTGTCCTAATCTGGAAATGATGCTGCATACTATGGACTCCGGACTAGGTGCGTTCCTTTAAGTCTTCCTGCCAATATGACCGAGTTGCGAAAACAAGGTCAAACAACTTCTATAATATTTTTAAGTTTAGGAAAATACCAGAGAGAAACAATTGGAAATCAGGAGCAGACGTCTACCGTGAGCCCATTCAAATCAAGTAGAACTATCACATTTGAGTCGGCACGTAAGAGACTTGGCCATAAGAATGTCATAAACGTGGCACTAGGAGTAGGAGAGAGAAACAATGGTGACCAATGATAGTTAGGCAATAGTAGATAAGTTTGTGCATAGATGTAATTCATAAAGTAAGGGCTTGACCATGGGATTTACTCGGAGCACATGCCGCCCAATGATAAGGGAATCTGCAGAGTCAAGTTAGCTTGTCATGCCAATTGAGAATCCAGACTTTGAGGGCTTACTCAGTGAGATCGATGTATACGTGCTATCAAAGGCTTGAAGCGTAGAACATAACGCATTGAGTAGCACGGATACGGTGGCAGCGATGGAGTGAAACCACTGGAGCAAGGAGACAAGGGCAAAATCCTATGGAGCAAGCAGGGAACTCTGATAGGACTCGAAGCGAAAGGATAGTGGATTAAACCGCAGCCTTGCCTCAGCATTACCGGTACATTGGGAGGGATGGGGAAACCAGCGGGGAGTGTAAATAGGTTTCAAATAGGTTTAGATAAATAAGTAAGAAATTGTGATATTGAGGGGGTGATACGAGGACATAGGATAGGAGAGATACCACAAATCTAAGGCAGATAATTGGTCAAAAGATCGACTTCACTTAACTCTTTGGCGAGTTGTAGTGTGGTCCTAAGAATAGCAAGGCTCACAGATGATGCCGGCGAAACGTCTGGGAATGTATTAATTCCACAGTCCAACTCCGGAAATTATCATGCATACTATGGATTTCGGACAAGGTGCTTTCCTTTAGGTCTTCTTGCCAATATGACCAAATTTCGA